AGACTGCCTTGGTAGCGAATACTACTAGAAATAGGGCATAATCTGCTGTACTGAGCCAGGATTGACAGAGGCCCTGTATATAATGTACATAGAAATAGGAATTAAGATTAAGTTTGAAAATATATGTAAATACTGATAATGGACTTCGTAATACGGACTATGACTGACAAATGACAGAACAGTCCTCTCGTCAGAAAGGGCGCCCCAAGTGAACAGGACAGTCAATTTCATATAAGAAAGAAAGAAAAAAATCACACCAAGATAGGCAGACTGACAGACCGTCAGTCGCAATGTGACTTGGACTTGGACTTGGAAGTAACAGTTCTAGATTTCTACAATTCCAGTTCAGTGTTTAAGGAGTTCGCTGTTATTATTATTCTTCAATTCTCCAAACTCAAGTTCGTCTGTGTATACTGCGCAACTGTAATACATATTGTAGAACAGTTCAAGAAGTGGTTGTCTCTTCATATAATGACATCCCGCATTGGTGACCCCGATAGTACAACACAAATAATGGACAGCGGTCGAATAGAAGACCTCCTGCAACAGTACGTAACACACGTGGAGAATTTACAAGGCGAACTACGTACCAGACGAGGACAGGAAGACCAAAAGGAAGAAATCAACACGATGTCGGTATTACTAACAGACTAGTACCAACAGAGACACCAAGGATTGCCTTGCGGCTTCCTCCGTTTTGGGCCGACAGACCAGCAGTTTGGTTCGCTCAAGCCGAAGTACAGTTCACTCTGGCCGATGTCAGTAGCGAGCAGAGCAAGTTCTGCTACGTGATCTCGCAGTTGGACCAACGTTACGCCTCGGAAGTAGAGGACATCATCTATCTGCCGAAACGCGACCCATACACAACGCTGAGAACGGAACTGGTAAGACGGCTATCCCCCTCGAAAGAGAATCGCATCCGCGATCTCCTTACACTAGAAGACATGGGCGACCGCAAACCTTTCCAGTTTCTAAGACATCTCAGAAGCCTCGCCCCAGACATGCCAAATGACTTATTTCGCTGCATCTGGTCCAACCGACTACCTTCTCATATAAGGGCCGTTCTCGCAGGCCAACCCGAGAACGACTTGGACACCACAGCCCGCCGCGCGGATCGCAGTATAGAAGGCGCACCCCAGCAGACACTCGTGAGGGTAGCGCCGCCCCCCGAGAAGAATGATACTCGAAAATATGTAAAGATCTTCGACGCAAAGTGGAGACACTGAACGCCAAGCTGGGACGCATCCTTTCCAACTCCAGGACTCCCCGCTCAAACTTCGAGGCTCCCCGCTCCAACTCCAGGAACCACCGCTCGGTCAGCAGATCGCCCTCATGAGAGAACATTACACCCACCCTCTTCTGGTACCATCACCGCTACGGAGCCCCGGGCACAAAAGTGTACACAGCCCTGCTCCTACCGCCAGCAGGAAAACTAACACAGCGGACATCAACGGCGGCACATGTCTGCACCCCAAACAACGGCCGCCTTTTCGTCACGGATAGGATCAGTAAACGACGATTCCTCGTAGACACAGGTTCAGACCAATGCGTGTATCCTTGCGGGCTCATCCCACGGCGCAAGGAACATGTCAACTACGACCTCTGCGCTGCTAACGGCACACAATCCGCACATACGGATGGCTGCCTCTTAGCCTTAACATGGGACTACACCGGGAATTCACGTGGCGATTCATAGTGGCCGACGTTATCCAGCCACTCATCGGAGCCGACTTTCTCTCATTTCGGTCTCCTGGTGGACTGCCAATTTACCGCGTACTGTATGGACTCATGTCGTTGTCTTCCCTGGCACAACCAGCCAACTCACTGATTCCCAGCGTCAAGACCATCAGTAGCGGCACACCAGTCGGCAGCCTTCTCACCGAATTCCTAGTCATCACCCGCCCAACCGGAACCCAGCGCGAAGTGCGCCACAACACTCCATCACATCCGGCCCTATACCTGGCCCGCCAGTCACCTGCCGACCCCGGCGACTGGCACCGGACCACTACCCTATCGCCAAAGCCGAGTTCGACGTCAAGTTACGGGACGGCACAGCTCGCCGCTCAGAGAGTTCCTGGTCATTGTACACAAGAAGGACAACGGTTGGTGTCCCTGTGGCGACTAAAGTTCTAGTATTTAGACAGTCCATGAAGAGCAGCGCAGTAGATTGGTAGGTCCATTCGTGAAAGTTGAGGGGGTGTCGTGATTAGTCATTCGTCTGCATTCAGTGCGAGCAGACGTCTCAAGAGCATTCTTCCTTCTACAGTCAAGTTAAAAATTTTTTACTCTTGGAGTCTTATTTGACTGTATTATTCTCTATTTACTGTATTAATATTTTATGTTATTGTTTATTTTTATTCGTTCATTTTCTTTTTTGTTTATTTATATTTGTACATTTTTCTATCTTCTTTAACATATCACCTACACGAAGTAAATTGAGTGGAAAAGTGTTGCATTCACAATCAAGAGAAATTGTTAGTAATGTATATAAGTATATGACAGAGGCTGGGCCAAAAATTGCAGTGAAGAACATAGGAGTGGAAGTAGCAAAGCAACAGGTGTATCGGAAAGTAGTGTCAGAAGAATAATAAGAGAAACAAAAAATCGAATCTGAGGCTTCCACTTCCTTTTCGACACCCCATAA